CCATCAAACCTCAGAGGGAAGGTAGGGGAGGGTGGGGGTAAGGGGGAGAGATCAACCAAAGGACTTGTATGCATGCAAATAAGCCTAACCAATGGACATGGACAACAGGGAGGTGAGGACATGAGTGGAGGGGTGGGGGGGCAATGGGGAGATAAGGACACATATATAATACCTTAATCAATAAAGAAATTTAAAACAAGAATGAGGGTGAAATAAAGACATTCTCACATAAAGTAAAACTAAGAGAATGCATAGCCAGTAGACCCACTCTAAACTAATTGCTAAAGGAACTTCTTTAGGTAGAAGGGAAATGATACCAAAAGGAAGCATGAAACACAAGAGGTATTTTAGTAGTAAAGGCACATGATATAGGCAACTTACTTTCAAGTGATTCTGGAGAAAAATTTATACATGTAGAGAGATAAATGGAGCAAAGTGTTGACAATAGGTACATTCAGATAAAGGGTACACAGGTGTTCGTACAATTCTTCTTTCTGTAAATTTGAAATTATTTCTAATGTAATCATCAACAACAAAGCTTATATATTTAAAACTTATTTAAGCCATAACGTTATCATACAAATTTTGGTCTCTGTTAGAGACAGAAGCTGAAAGAATATCTGACGTTTTTCTCATGGAATTTTTTTTTAGTGGTACAAATTACTCAAGTTAATAACAAAAGAACCCAAGACATTTTTACCACTAAATCAGTGAGACTTTTATCAATGTTGTGTTTTGGTTTTTTTTGCCAAGCTCAGTAAGTAGGTGCTAAAGATAAACCATACCAGCAAAGTATCTCCCAGCGGGATCCACCTTCCCATCATTGAATCGATTGTTTTTCTTGTCTTGATCTATGGTGGCCAGGACAATGGCTGACTGATCTTCCCAGTCCAAAGCACAAAACTTTGTTCCAACGGTGGCGACATAGCCTCCCGACTGGCGGAGGGCCACGGAGCTGACAGGGGCGTCTGCAGAGGCAAAAGCCACAGTCAGGATGCAGCACGCAGCCCAGGGGCCGAGCAGCGCGCTGAGCCTATCATGCCACCTGCCGTCACCAAGAGTATTGCAGCCCTTTCGACAATGGTGTGCTCGCTTCCTTCTGTTGACGAATGAAGGCTAGAATGAAGGCTACATAAGCCGAGGATACTTGATAATAAACTCCAGCCACTATTCTGGACAGCAGGCACAGAAAGGTGAGTGAAATCCAACCCTATTGGAAGCTCCCAGTCTAGCAGAGAAGTAGAACCCCAGCAGCCACCACACATTGGGGCAGGCGTCACATCAAGTTCAGAGGAAGGATTCAAAATAGAGACAGATTCATAGATAGAGAGCAGGCAACAGCTCTGCTGCTGCTGCTGCTGCTGCTGCTGGTGGTGGTGGTGGTGGTGGTGGTGGTGGTGGGTGGGCACCAAGCAGTTGTCACAGAACAAGAGATGCTAAATTTGTCTGCTCTCCAGGAAATTCAGAGACACGCTGTTTAGTTTCAGCAACCAGGCTTTGTGACATTCTTCTCTCCCTCCAGTACAGGACATTCCTTTTTAAGCGGCCCTATTTAATTAAAAATTACATACAAATTTAAAATTTATTTCAGCCCTAGCTGGTTTGGCTCAATGGATAGAGCGTCAGCCTGTGGACTGAAGGATCCTGGGTTTGATTCTGGTCAAGGGCACATGCCTGGGTTGCGGGCTCAATCCCCAGTGAGGGGCGTGCAGGAGGCAGCCGATCAATGATTCTCTCTCATCATTGATGTTTCTATCTTTCTCCCTTTCCCTTCCTCTCTGAAATCAATAAAATATATTAAAAAATTCTTTAAAAATAAAATTTATTTCAATTAAATAATTTAGATAGCAGTCTCCAGCTTCCAGTGCTCTCATCTGAAGGTGTGAAGGAAAGATACGAAAGCACGTCATTATTGGAACAAAAAGGGGAATGCTGCCCCTCCTTCACAGAGGAAGAGGGAAGTACTGACCATCCAGAATGTACTCCTGGCTCAAAGCGGGAGAACGACAGCCCTGGCTGGTGTTTCCCAGTGGGTAGAGCATCGCCCCTCTCACCGAAGGGTCACGGGTTTGATTCCTGGTCTAGGGCATGAACCTGGGTTGTGGGTTTGATCCCTATCTCTGGTCAGGGTCTGTGCGGGAGGCAACCAATTGATGTGTCTCACATTGATGTTTCATCCATCCTCCCTTCCTCCCGCCCTCCCTTCCCTCCTCTCTCTCTAGAAAGCAATGGTGAAAATTAACAAAAGTGGAGGACACAGACAGCTTGACAATCCCAAAGTTTTACAGCATATTCAGCTTTCGCATGAAGATCCCAGGGGAATGACACTCGAGGTGACCTCCCTTCCCCAGAGAAAAGATGGCTGGCTGGGTGGATCTGAGCCCGGCCTTCATCCTTACCCACAGTCACTCGATGAACTTGCTTGCTGAGCGAATCCCACCGGCAAACCTTCTTTGAAGGAATATCTACGAAGAGCAGAGAGTTGGTCGCTTCCTCCCACACTGGAGACTCCCCGCACCGGCAGTTCTCTGGCAGGACACACTCAATCTTAACGGAACACATGGTCATGGGGGATCTACTGAAGGCGACAGAGACAACATGCAACGTGATCTCATGGAGCGAATTCAGTGCGGTATCTGGCTTGAGACCCCAGTAAGCTGCCGATACAGACTGAGTTGTTTTTATTAGAACTAGAAAGACTGGGCACACTTTCCCCAAAATCAGAACAAAATATGTAATGTGGCAGGAGGAGATGTGTCTGAAAAAGAACTAAGAGTGGATAGACGATAGAATGAGACATCTCCAATCAACTTACCAGGGCTTTTTTCCAAGCTGTCTTCTATTTTTTAAAAAATATTTTTTTTATTGATTTCAGAGAGGAAAAGAGAGGGACAGAGAGATAGAAACATCAATGATGAGAGAGAATCACCAATTGGCTGCCTCCTACACCCCCTCCACTGGGGATCGCGCCCACACCTGGGCATGTGCCCTGACCCGGAATTGAATCATGTCCTCTTGGTTCATAGGTTAACGCTCAACCACTGAGCAACACCGGCCAGGCCAAGCTATCTTAGGTGTGTGTGTGTGTGTGTGTGTGTGTGTGTATGTGTGTGGGAGAGAGAGAGAGAGAGACCAACATCCGCACCTAGGTGTTGGTGACCCTCAGAGAGCCAGCTCAGAGGTGGCAAGGTTGCTCTTCATGCCAGACCCCAGCCACTAAGGAGGACGGGGGGGGGGCAGAGAGGTGGAGCACCCTCACTGCTGGCTTCTCTGGGAGTCTGAGGTCACCTCCTCTGCTGCCTTCCCCATGCGTTGATGTTGATTCACTTCCCTGACCACTCAAAGGCCAGCGCCTCCCCACTTTGCATTTTTCTCAGCTGCATTTCAAAGTATACTAGGGCCTTGACTTACGAGTTTAATTCGTTCCGTGACGGAGCTCGTAACTCAAATTACTCGTATGTCAAATCAACAGTGAACAAGTGAGACACGTGACGCTGGGCTGATGTTGTGGCGTTCACTGTGACATTCGCTGCGCCAACTAGCCGTGGGGTATCTGAAGCTGGCTCGTAACCCGAATTTTAGCTCGCAACTCAAAGCAAAAAATCGGCCAAGAGACGGCTCGTATCTTGAAAAACTCGTTAGTCGGGACACTCATAAGTCAAGGCCCCACTGTATATTCTTCGGTGATAATACACTAAAATCAGAAGTAACATCCATTTTCAGATTCGGACAATGGAAGGGGTGGGAAAGGGGGCACCGTCTGGCACCCTTGTGGGAACTGGCAGCCCTCAGCTGGTTCTTGCCGCCCAGGCAGGCAGTGTGCCAGGGTGGCAAGGAGTCTTGAAGTCCGCGGGCAAGGACATTCTATGCTGGGACTTCAGGCCGGAGACTTTGACTGATACTCAGGGAGAAGAAAAGTCAGAAAAGTCAAAACATTACCTAAGAAACCCAGTGGGAGAGGAAAAATAGGCAACTTTCAAGAGCCTTCTCTTCCCCAAACTCTGCCCTGCTGACCCAAATGGCCTGCTCTTCCTCCTTCTCCCGGGCATCTATGTGCTTTGAAGTAAGTGGTCTCACACATAGATGGGCACATGAATGGGGGGGGGGGAATTATCTTTGGTTTAGTATTTCCTTCAGTAAACTGAATTGAAAACATTGTTGGCCCTGGCTGGTTTGGCTCAGTGGATAGAGTATTGGCCTGCGGACTGAAGGGTCCTGGGTTCGATTCCAGTCAAGGGCACCTGCCTGGGTTGTGGGCTCGATCCCCAGTAGTGGGCATGTAGGAGGCAGCTGATCAATGATTCTCTTATCATTGATGTTTCTCTCTCTCTCTCCCTCTCCCTCCCTCTCTGAAATCAATATACATATGTTTAAAAAAAACCAAAACATTTTTGTTGTTGTTAATCCTCACCCAAGGATATTTTCCCATTGATTCAGAGTGGAAGCCATTGATGTTTTAGAGAGAGTGGAAGGGAGGGGGAGAGGTATAGAGAGAGAAAAGCTTCCATGTGAGAGACACATTGACTGGCTGCCTCCCCAGGGGGACTGAGCCTGCAATTGAGGTACATGCCCTTGACCAGAACTGAACCCAGGGCCCTTCAGTCCTTGGGCTGACACTCTAGCCACTGAGCCAAACCGGCCAGGGAAAACTTTTTTTTTTTTTTTTTAAAGAAACAGCACAGCTCAAATAGGCCTCCATACCACCTGCCGGCTCAGCATTTGCAATCCTCCTTGACTGTGAGAGCTGGCTGGCCTCCCAGGCCCCCTGTCTGCGATCAGGCGCGGGGCTTACACAACAGCAGCTTTT